GCAGGGGGTACAAGGGGCTCGTGATCCCCCCTCGTCCCCTTAGGTTCCGAGGGGCCCTTCGGACCCCACGAAACCTACGATTAAAGTCCTGAAAAGTCACCCAGGGGTCTTGTTCAGAGGCCCCGGCCCGCGGGTCCGGGCACTCAAATACCAGCCAGAGAGCCCTGCGCGCTGATCAAGGGCCCACTGAGCCGATACGGGCATATATTTCGGTCAGACGCCACCAGTAGCGCACAGTCGGCTTTGTGGCGGCAGGAGCCTAAGGGCCCATTTCCCAAGCAGGGACAAATTTGGAGCCAGCCATTTACATTGCTTGGGGCCCACAGCGCCTAACAGGTGCCCTGTGCTGTCAAGAGGCTCCGAGTTGACCAGAGGCAGTGTTCGAGGATGCCCGAAGAGCCTAGAGGGCCCACCCGGTCCGACGGTCTAGGGCCCGGTTGAAGGGCCTAAGGGCATAAAGGGCTGGTCGGAGTCTTATTCAGGGGCTCAGACCTGCAAAGACGGACCCTCAAATAACGATCAGAGGGCCCTTTGCGCCAATCGGGGACCCCTGATTCGATAAGGGCCCATATGTCGGCCAGGTACCACCATACCGCATGGTCGGCTCCGTGTTAGTATGGGCCTGAGGACCCACTTCCCAATCAGCTATAAAGCCGGGGCCAGTGGTTTTCATTGTTCGGGGGCCTTGTCAGGAGCCCACAGCGCCCAACAGAGGGCCCTGTGCTGGCAAGGGTCCCAAGCCGACCAAGGGAGGTGCTTGATGAGGCCCGAAGATGGGCCGAGTGGCCCACCGGAACCGACTATCCAAGGCGCGGTTGGAGGTCAAAAGGACCCCAAGGACTGCCTGTAGGTCGCATAAGGAGTCGCAGTCCGTGGCGTTGTGATGTGAAACATCAGTCAGAGGTCCTCCTACACCGTTTAGGAATCTCTGAGACAATGCGGGTGTCTAAGTCGGTCAGAGATCACGAACACCAAAACAGTCGGCTTCATGTCCGTCTGAGCTGTTGAGACCCTTTTCCCAAGCAGAAACAAGGCCGGGGTCCGCATTCGCAATGTTCAGGAATCCTAACATGATGGGGGGACTCCTGTGTCGGTTAGGGGCCACAGTGCCGAGCAGGGGTCCTGTGGCAGCAAGTGGCCCCGCGTCGGAGCAGTGTTTGCGGGGCCCAGAGAGGGACCAAAGGGCCTCTCGAGGCCAAAGATCAAGGACCCGATAGGATTGCTGAAGGGTCCGAAGGGCTGGCTGTATGTCACATTTAGGACCCTGCCCATAGGACAGTGATCTCAATTGTCAGTAAGGTGATCTCTTGCACCGATAAGGGCCCCTCAGACAGAGCGTTCCTCCACGTCGGTCAGAGATCACGAACAGCTCCGTGTTGGTCTGAGCTCTGGGGGCCGGTTTCCAAGGCAGGGACAGGGTCAGACCCGCGGTTTACATCGGCCGTGCTCCTATATCGTTCGGGGGCCCACAGTGCTCAACAGGCCATTCTGTGTCAACAAGAGGCCTCGAATCAACCAGAGGATTTTTGTTCAAGAGGGGCGGGGACAGGGGCCTGAATGTCAGAGGGTCTCTGGCTCTGGTCGGAGCCCTCTGACAACTGAACGAGACAAGAACTTTTGATGAGTGTTCACGCTGGGGTAAGGGAAGAGTCCTGTGTCAGTCACGGTGGGCCCTCCGACCCTTTTCTAGTATGGTCCCCTTCAGCCCAACTGGAGTCTAGGTGCCAATTATTTGACCACCTGCGGTGAGCAGGGATGTTGCTGCGTTAACGACGGTTCATGCGTCGATCCGGGATCAACTGCGCGGGTCAGAACGCCTTCCGCCTCAAGGAACGGACCAATGTAATATGATGTATCCTTCTAAGGGCCTCAGGATCGGCCAGGGAATACGGCCCGTGTCGCCAGAATGACGGCCGGAGAGCACACCGCAGTGGGACAGAATGGTCTTGCAGCTCTTGGCCGGGAACAACAAAATGTTCCGTAGTGTTGTACTCAAGGGACCCCTTTGCGGAAAAGAAATAAGGGGTCTCATTAGTGCTGAGTGGAGTAGGTCGAAATGAGTTTAAACGCACAAGGCCATCCCGTGTTTGCCTGAGGACGTTCATTATATTGTAGAATCAACTCGTGAAACAAATGCCATCAAAACGTTTGAGCCCGCGCGCCGTGTGCCGGTAGTTTAGTGGTTCTCGCGCCTGCGTTAACACTGCGCGTTTGACTAAACGAAACTGGGCGACCCAAGGAGACTGCAAAGCCTGACGTCGAGTTTTTTTTGGCCTGTTATGAAGATATGCGAGCGCATGCTCGAGACTACTGCACCTAATTTGTACCAAGAATTAATTCTGATTACATGATGAAGATATCCAGACAAACATGGCCTGGCCATGTAAACGCAAACAGTTGAGCCATTTTGATTTTCAACCTACATTCGCGGATTCCTTGCTATTGCTGCACAACCAGGATAAGAATTCTGACAAAGTTTCTGAGTTCTATCATTCAAAAAAGAGTTCACTCGACCATTATGAAGTGAAGAGCGCTGACAATTTGCTTCATGCAGTCATCTAACGAGTGACTTTGTCAGTTTATTTACTGTAATCTTAGGACAGAATAATCTTGCAGTAGCGTCGTGCCTATATTTCAGTTATAGAAGGTAAAGATGTGTAATATATATATATATATATATATATATATATATATATATATATATATATATATATATATATATATATAGAAATCATGCCCTTAATAACAAAAGGATCACATCTGGCGATTTCTTTGGGGGCCCTTCCACCGGCAGGGGGCCGCTTGGCAACCCTGTGCCCCCCTTGCCAAGTCTCTGGCTGCGCCCCTGCGCACCGCTCTATGCAGTTCTGCTAAAAATGGGGAAAGACGCGGTCATGGCCCTTCTGAATAAGCCAAGTAGATAACGTACGGTTCTAGACACCTTGAATGCCACTCTGTAAACCGCATTTCGTTCGAAAGTTCCCAGGATCTTTCATTGACAGAGAAGAAACCTTATCCTGCCTCAAGCCGTCGTCAAAGCTGGAAGACGTCTTCTTTGATGAGAAAAGAGCATCGAGCACCGACCGTCTTCACAGTCATTCACTTGGAAACACTAATTCTTACACGTATTTAGCAGCGGCGATTCTGTGTCGCGCCATTCAGCGGCCGTCGCGCAGACTCCGGTTTCGCGGCGCACACTGGGCGCGCTCAGCCGTGAGGCGGCCAAAAGCGCCACACAGCGGGCGCGCCGCCGGGGTCGCCGCCTATGCAGATGCGCCCGCGTATTGTGGCGCGCGCTTTTTAGCGCGCCCGCGTGATGCGCGCCATCACGGTTCGACAGGCGGAGATAAAGCGCGGGAGAGCGCGCGAGCGGCGGTCTCGCGCCATTATCATGACTGAGGACGTGTTGGGCTCGCGGGCGCCGGCCGCATATTCAGCGGCGGCAGTCGAGGCGTGGATTTGCACGGATGTCTGCCGACAGTGCAGGCGCTGGGAGGCTCGAGGAGGCGATGGGAGCATCCTTTGGAGGCGATCAGCCTAATGGGACGGCAACTGTCGCGGCCGACCACCTGCAACGCCGCGCACATCGGACCCGCCTGAGAGACATTCATTGGTGCCATCGCTGTCGCAGGAGCACAACCGATGCGGTTACGCTCAGGTGGGTGTCAAAGGAGAGCTGTTACACATTTAAAGCAGGGCCTCTATTAAAAACCGCGCAGGACATGGCTTGAAAGAACTCCTTTGTGCGAAAGAAATTCCTCGGCGTCGTGTCATCACAGCGGATTGCCGCATGTGGTATGCCCGGGGGATGAGCCTCAGGCTATTCAGAGCTACCATCCGATCCGGACGGGCATCTCTTTACTCTTTACGAGCACCACGCCTTGTTTTCGTGTCTCTCTGTCTTCCGTCGTAGTCCTGACAAGACACTCGGCGACTCCCGACTTCACGTGAAGGGCTCTGTCGAGGATCTTGTGGCGGGGCTGGTGTGCTCAAGAACGGCCGGGCGGGTGCGGGGCTTCGGCATGGGCCCGCCAGCTGAGACCACTGGCCATGCCCGTGCAGCACGCATTTCGCGAGTAACTGTTAACCTCCCTTCCCCACCTGTCCGCGCCTTCGGCGGGGCACAAAGGAACTGATTTTGGGGTCGCCGGCAGTCGACAGGCACGCATAGATGTGAACAAAAAACTGCCTTACGAATCAGACTTGTCCTTCGTGACCAAGAGCACGAAGGACATCACACTGCATCAAACTGCATGTTGTGAGCTCTGCCTTAGATGGGTGTATGGCCGCATTAAAACTACGAGCACGTCTGGCATTTTAACTCGGATAGATGCATCCTGACTTTCATCGTGTCTCCTTCAGACGCTTCACGGCCGGACCACCGATCTAACTACATCATGGCGTCAGAATATCGCCACATATACACGGAACAGACATCTATAACACCGTGTCTTGAGTCAGTCCCCGAACGAGCTCCAGTGGTAAGTCTAGTGCCAGTAGCTTTAAAATAAAAGCCACACCTTGCCTGATGGCTCGCGCAATCACTACGGGTCATACCTAAGAGCAGGCAGGCCAGAGACTTGCCTCAGCGATAGCTCGCGCAATCACTGCAGATCATGCTTAACAGCAGGCAGGCCCGAGACTTACCTCAGCGATAGCTCGCGCAATGACTGCAGGTCATACCTAACAGCAGGCAGTGCCGAACCTTTTTACGGTCCTGACTGTCTCACCCGCGTTGTACGCCCAGTCAGGCTTTTAATCTAGAGAGTCAGCTTACCAAGGGTACTCTTATGCACAAAAAAACCGAACTGGCTGCACGATAACCGATCTTAAACGATGTGTTTAAAAGCCGACCATAATAAAAAGCACACTGATCACATTTTCACACAGAGTACAGCAGCTACTATACAGACCAAAGGTCACGCAAAACCAAGTTCACGGAGGCGGTCCTTCGCCAAGCGAAATGCACCATCCCCCCAGCCACGGTAAATAAGCTGTGGTTCGAACAAAGCATGTATTGCTTCATATCACATATTTGCAAAGCTCAGCAGCATATCTCATAGTTCAGAAGGCAATCTCAAGGCTATGACAGCTTAACGTCGCAAAAGTTCTGCTAGTACGCTTGCGCGAATAGAGACTGCTAGTAAGACTAGATATTTGAAGCCATGTCCAGATGCATATAGGCGGACAAAAATACCTTTCAATCGTCCCCAAGTAGAGCACAATACCTACCTATGTTCATACCGCATACAAAAACAATGTGCGCGGCACAATCCAGAGCACACGAAATTTTGCATTACCGACTGGCCATACTTCATGGCAGCAGTTATTAGTCTATCGGAGTACATGGCTGTAACCTGATATCTTTGGGAGAGTCTCGTTCTAACCGTTTGTCAAAGCATCCCCAGCACTGCAAGGCTGGAGCTACCCCAAAACGCAATGAGAGGCACTCAAAACACCGCCACACCTGCGCTTGGAGAATCTGCCCCTCCCCACTTACCCCTCCCTTTCCGAACGGATACTATGAAGCCCCATCCATGTCTAACACCAAAGGTTGCATACAGTAGTCTACGTGGTCTGCTATGCTCGGTTAACGTGGCACGCCCGTAGCTTCCAGACAGCGGCGCGCGAGCCATCCCAGCTGAGAACGTACTGGCCGATGATAGCCGGCTTCCCTTGTTACCGATATGATTGGAGTACTTGCGAGACGAAGCTCTCATCACGTCAGATACTAATTATAAAACGGCCCTTTTTCCCTGCAAAGATCATGGCTAACATAGCTACACCCCATTTAACGAAACATACACCCACAACGGGCCACCGCGGTGGCCACTGGCGCCAGCCATCTCGCCTTAATCTCAGGGTAATGCTGATGACAAGAATATACAAAACGTTCGGCTTATCACTCGCGCCACGCATTGGCACTCACGCCAAGTGTTGGCCACCGATAACACTGCTACAGCCCACCGCTCAGAGATGGCAGCACCTCCCGCAACGCCCGCCCGGAAAAGAGAGCGGAACGCGGCCCCGTTGCAACGGTCGGCTACTTCAGGTACACGTTGATGACGTTCTCCACCAGCCAGGTGATGCTGAACTGCAGGTGGTCTCCGTCGGCGACCAGCATGGCCAGGCGGCCGTCCTCGTCCAGCTCCTTCAGACCCAGGTAGTCCTGCGGAGATGCGTCAGTCAGAGGTCGGAGGCTGACGTGTCACGGCGCATGACCTGCCAGGAGTGCTCGACGCAAAAGAGGACGCGCTGCATTTCGATTTGAGTTGACGATGGATTGGTTCGGAGAGACGTTCTGACAACGGACTCCGCTTTCTCGGAGCCAATGCGACGGCGACTTGCAGAGCATGGAGATAATTCCGACACTGCCTCCAGTGTAAGGCTCACCTCCGGGAACTATTCGCATCCCAATCCCGATCGATTCCGTATCGATTTTGCAATGCATGAGTGCTCCATGTGATGCTCATATCAACCACACGCATAACAATACTGGTTGCAAACAGTAGTTGCATTTAAGTCGATTCACTAATGATTGCTGCTAAAACACTCAGTGTAACTCCGATACTGACACGCCAGACTTTGTGAGAATAATCGACACGACCTAATCGCAGCGACAATTTGGTTGCTTCCGGAACAGGTCCCGATCTGTCCGGAGTCAAGCACAGGTCTGCAGCGCAGCATGACGAGAGGTCGCACTGGGGCAAAAACGCAGCGGGCGAGCAGTGGCTGAAGGCTGCGGGTTCAACCGGCACGCCACGCACTGATGGCTACTGCTAGCCCTACGCCGTACGCTACAGGTCACAACCGCGGCGGTACTTTGCCAACGCCCCTCACCAACTTCCTATATGATCTCCGTCAGACGATGTCCTGAGTTGTTAAAATGACGGAAGACAAGGGTTTTGGAAAGTGCGAGGAAACACCTCACCTGGTATCAGTTCAACACAGATGTAATTGAACCAACATGCCATCATTGAATGGCATGAATAGGTAGAAAGCAGATTTTGTACGAAATCCCATGGGTATCAATGCCTTTATGAAACGTCTCACTACCATCGGAAGCTGGAGCAGGATCAAAATGCAATACTTCACAAGGCGAATGCCACAGAGTCGGTCCAAGGCGTCGCGACGAGCATGTGAAAAGTGGGTTCATTGGAGTCCTTTTTTAACCATCGCCCTAGTCGTGGAGGATACAAACCCCCCCGTGATGTTTTTTGAGGATACCTCTTCAACATGTTATGCAATCGCGCCCAAATTTTCAGCGGCCAATGGGACATCCCTTGCGCGTGCTTTGACACCAAACGCTTCCTATCTATTTTGGTTCCGGAGCAGCGGAGGTTTTCGAGGGACACCGCACGGCGATCTGCGACCGGCGCGGGCGGCGGGCGACAGCCGACGATTCCGCGGAACGCGCGCGGCGGGCCGAAACTGCTACATTAACAGGGCCATACATCATAAATGTATGCCCAAAACGCATCTAATATACACTATTATATTCAGAATCAAACAAGGGACACGCCTGTTTAAGTCTCGTGTCGCCACAAGGCATGATCTGGCAGGCATAATATAAGACAAAAAGGACCTTTTCTGAAGAATTTGATCTTTCACCTGTTGCAATCGTTCAACTGTTGAAATAACAACACAAAAACTGGCACTGATCGTAAGATCTCGCCGAAACCAATCCCGCGGTGCTTTCCGCTGAGCTATATCTTTATCAGCTTGGAAATGCCGCGGGGGTCAGCCACATGACCCCCTCCCTCCCTTTCCGTCCGCGTTATGAAAGACAGCGAATCAGGGCGAACGTAAGATGTCACGCGTCACATCTCGCCCCCTGGCGGTCATGAGTGAAACACTGCCATAACCTGTCAACCGTTTTTCTGACCTGAACGGTTACAAGGATCACAACGCCTAGCACTGATCGTAGAATGGAACACAAAAGACCGCCGGTCGCCAGCGGTGCTGATGACACTGCTTGTGTGATTGGTCGATTGATGACTTGGTCTTTGAGCGCGGTGACCGCGCCGCTCAGCGCCGGTGACTTCTCAGTACTCACGTCTGTGTAGAGCTTGGTCTGCTGCAGCGGCACCACCGTCTTGTCCTGGCCCGCGGCGTAGAAGCCGAAGTGAGATGACTCACGCGGCACAACCATCGTGTCGCTGCCGAACATCACCAACACCAGGTTCTCCAGCTTCTTCAGATTCTCCTTGTAAGTTTCGTTCTTGACCACCTGAGGCAGACAGCGGGGGCTGATACCATTAAAGCTTCCCATTGCCTCCTATAGGTGGAGCCACATACAGCCGGGTGCCTGGCTTCGAAAGCTGCAAGTGCTGGATAGCAAGAACTGCTGGCGAATCACGGCTTGGTCAACCCAGGCTTCAGCTGCAGCTAGAGAATCGCGGTCATTCTCGCGCCGCTGGGAAGGCACGCACGACTACAGGAAAATGATGAAGACAGCCATGCAAAGACCGAGGCAATGCGTCTTACAGTGGCGTGCGCAGCGGATATTTACAGCATACGAATACTCCCCCCACCAGCCATCATTCAACGTAACACTTATGTCATATGGAAACCAGCAAAACCAGTCGTAAAACTGTTGAAATAGCTAACTGCCTGAATTATAAAAGGAGGCACCAAAACAAGCTGCTCTTGAGACGAGGAGAAACAGGCCGTCAACGAAAGAGAGCGAGCGCCGTCGCGGACGGAGCGCGGGGGCTCGCGGGCGCGTCACGGCGGGTGCGGCTCACCCGTTCGTTGTTGATATCGGCCAGGAACTGCGAGACCTCCAGGTACTCCTCGCGCTTGGTCGGGTCGTGCCAGTACTGGGCCTGCACCAGGTGCGACTGCACGTAACTGCGGAGGAGGCGCAACAACCCTCAGTCAGGCCACTCTAGCCAGGTCAGGGCAGGACAGGTCAGGTCAGGTCAGGTCAGGTCAGGTCAGGTCAGGTCAGGGCAGGTCAGGTCATGCCACATCAGGTCAGGACAGGTCAGGTCAGAACAGCCCGAGGTAGAGGAGAGCAGAGCAGTGCAGAACATGCCAGGTCAGGGCAAGACAGGACGGGGCAGGGCCCGGTAGATCGGGTTCGGTCAAGTCAGGTCAGCACATGCAGGGTTAGGTCAGGTTAGATGAGGCCGGGACAGGTCGAATATGATCATAACAGATCAGGTCAGGTCACGTTCGTCTTCAGTCCCACAGATACTCGGTAGTCGAGCAGGGTTATTGTATATCACAGTCTGCAGCGTGTTTGCGCCAGCCCTCCCGTGGCGCCGCGTCCGTTTAAGCTGCGGCACCTGAGCCCCACACCACATATGGCGCGCAGGTGCTCGCTCGGCTATGCAACACCACGTGCCGCTCAGCACCTTCATCGCCACCGGATTTCAGACGCTCATAGCACAACTTCAACACTCGACATACACGACCTCCCCTCAGTCAAACACCGTCGGCACCGCCTCCACATGACTCCGACCCCAGGCTTCAGGTCCCCGGCAGCGCGCCCACCTGTTGTAAGCGCCCAGGTCGAGCATCTCACGGACGATTTCGCAGACGCCGGTGGTGCCGAGGCAGTGAGGTAGGCCGAACACGCCCTGGTGCTGGCCGCCGAACGTGATCAGGTTCTTCATGGGTGGGCTGGGGCAGCGCTGAGCTACCGCCCGGCTGGAGGAGGGCGGGGCGGCGTCAGGTCACCGAGGTCAGGTCGGAGGGAAGGCGCTGCCATCAGCATCAGAGGAAGGCGCTGGGACCCGTTCAGAAGGGAGATATCGGGGTCAGGTCGGAGGAAGGTGCTGGGATCAGCTCCAAAATACTGTCATGTCATTGGACTTTTGCCACACACTCAGCAGCTGAGACTACATGTCATTGCCTTTCTGTCACCCCGGCAGGACAGACGGGCATCGCGGGGAATTGAAGCCAGTATCGCCTATTTTTATGACGCGCAGTTCACAGCAGCCGACGCGCATTTCACCGCTGACAAAGCACAAGGGCTGAGTCAGAGGGAGGTACTGGATCGACTGAGTAAGAGGTGCCAGGGTCGGGTCACTGTAGAGGGAGGAAGCGGGCACTGGGTCAGGGCAGACGAATGATAATGGACCACACTGACAATGTTAACAGCTGACCACATACAACGGCGATGAGACGGTACACCAATGAGACGTTACCGAGACCACGTGAAACACCAATGACATTGCACCGATAAGACGACAAAAGCACGGCCAAAGAGAATAATGGCAAAGGAAGGGACTAACGCAAGCCATGAATAAGGCAGAGCGAATGATCAGGGGCCCACCATGGTGCGACGGTTACAGACCCGGACAAGGTAGGGTGAGGCAGACGGGGATTTACCATACGACAGCTCCGATCGGACGCACGCTACCAAAGCCGCGAGGTGAGGGAGAGCTTCATGGAAAGCCTATGAGCTTGCAACTGACTCGTAACTTGTAACTTGTGCGCATGCCTCCACACCCTGAGCAGACACCAGTCCCGCAGTTGAGGACCCAGCGCGTCTCTCCATGAGCATCCCAACACACGGCGTGGACAGCCGCATGCGGTTGTGGCTGCGCCGCCTCTGATGGAGCCACACCCGTCCGCCGGCGTCCAGCCGCACCCAGCTGGAGCTGCGCCGCCTCTGATGGGACCACACCCCGTCCGCCGGCGTCCAGCCGCGCGGCTGATGGCCTCGGGTAGGAGCGGAGGGGCCACTCACAGGAACTGGCCGCCCTGGGAGAAGCCCATGGCGTTGTATCCGCCCTGCAGCTTCTCGTCGGCGGCCAGCTTCTGGCACACCTCCTCGATCTGGGAGTCGACCGGCCTGAAGAAGCCGTTCAGCGTGTCCTGAGGGTCGGACGGACGCAAGGCCCTCAGCGCGGGCAGTCCACACGGAGCGCCGCGGCCGCCACTCGCTGGAAGTCTGAGGCCAGGCTGCACGCGACAGGCGCGACTACAGGCACGACCCCACTCGCTAGGAGTCTGAGGCCTGACTACACGCGACAGGCACGACTACAGGCACGGCCCCACTCGCTGGGAGTCTGAGGCCAGGCTGCACGCGACAAGTGCGACTACAGGCACGGCCCCGCCCGCTGGGAGTCTGAGGCCTGACTACACGCGTGGGGGGGGGGGGGGGACGCTCGCCCGTCCTCAATGATCGACTCGTGCGGCGGCACCCGAGCTCAATCGACCACTCGCGTTTTCTGGAGAGGCGGCTGCACGGTCAAATGCCATGGGGGTCATGGAACAGCAGGATCGTACGGCGTCCATTCGCCGGCACTCACATCGATGATGTTGGGCCCGATCATGAGCGAGCGGACGTACACGCCCGGCACGTTGTCCTCCACGGTCCTCTTGATCATGCCCATGCTGGTGGGCAAGCAGCAGGAGTCGCCTGTCGGACTCAGTCAGCGGTGACGGCGGCCGCGGGGCGGAGAGGGGGTGGGGGTGGGGGGTGGAGGGCAGGGACTAGCTCAGTTCAGTTCAGCCCAGCTCAGCTCAGCTCAGCTCAGCTCAGCTCAGTTCAGTTCAGTTCAGTTCAGTTCAGTTCAGTTCAGCTCAGTTCAGTCAGCTCAGCTCAGCTCAGCTCAGCTCAGCTCAGCTCAGTTCAGTTCAGTTCAGTTCAGTTCAGTTCAGTCAGTTCAGCTCAGTTCAGTTCAGTTCAGTTCAGCTCAGCTCAGTTCAGCCCATCCCAGCTCAGCCCTGCATCAACACTCCTCAATTCACACACATCGCGCGCAACAGTGACGTCCCGGTTGGGAAAACCCACTTCACCGCAGCACCACCTTTTCACCGGCCGCTACTCCAGCGGACCGCCGACCTGCCCCGGCCTACTGACACACAGCGAGCCCGCCCACCTCCCCCGGCCTACTGACATACAGCAAGCCCACCCACCAGCCTCGACCTACTGACAAACAGCGAGCCCGCCCACCAGCCCCGGCCTACTGACATACAGCGGGCCCACCCACCAGCCCCGACCTACTGACATACAGCGGGCCCACCCACCAGCCCCGACCTACTGACACACAGGGAGCCCGCCCACCTCCCCCGGCCTACTGAAATACAGCAAGCCCACCCACCAGCCCCGACCTACTGACATACAGCGAGCCTACCCACCAGCCCCGACCTACCTACAGCGGGCCCACCCCAGCCCCGACCTACTGACACACAGCTTGCCCGCCCACCTGCCCGGCCGGTCGACTCACCCATGCCGTGCCAGATGACAACGGGCGTGGGGTCCTGGGCGGCGGCACCGGCCGCCACGCCCAACACCAGCAGCCAGAGGGGCGCCATGATCTGCGGGGTCGGCAGCGGCGCTCGGTGGGGGGCGCGGCAGTCTCGCGGGCCCGCTTTATAGCCACGCCCGGGGCGACGCGCGCGGACCGGCTGGCGGGGTCCTGTGGGAGACACGCAGCCGGCGGCTGGGGTTGGGCGGTCGGTCGCACGACAGGCGCGCGCGCACGAGGTGGCCGCCGTACGACGCGTGTTAGCTAGAGGCGCTGCCGCCGGAGCAGGTTCAAGGACGGGTGTGACGTGGTGGCGATCGCGGCATTCCTTTCTGTATCTGTCTGTTTTCTTTTAATTCTTTTGTGAGGACCCTGTCCCACAATGTTACGTTCGCCCAGCCCAATGTCGGCTTGCTCCCCCACATTTTTGGCTGTAGTATTACAAAAGCATGGGAAAACTTAACAATTAGACAAAAACTACCTCATTTGATCCTCGCTCGTAGTGGCGCCGGCATGGAGCGTGCAGCGGGTTAACTTGACCCAGCAACCTCACAGATCATTCCCACAAATGAGGGTTAACTTTAGACAACGAGAGGCAAACCATTTCATAATGGATTTTTTTCCCGTGAAACACAAACCCACACGCTTTTCCACCACAGCCCAAGCATGATGTTGACTTCACTGATCCACCGATCTCGTAGACTCTTATATGTAGAGCATCATTTGGTCCTCCACCCATGGTGGGCCATGAATTTATCATTGTGATATTTGAAGTCGAAACCTGAATCACCTTGCTGTAAGGTCCCACGGGAAACATCGGGTAACATGGGGGGGGGGGGGGGGAAGGTGGAGGGAGGGCAGGCATCGTTAGTACAGATTGTAGGTCCAGTTCAGCAACAAAATGAGACAATATGGAAAATAAAAATTTTGGTGGGAGAGATTTTCAATCCGTTTCCAGGAAAGACATAATTGATTGCTAGCACAACGAACTCGCCACCCACTTATCGCACAGCGTGTTCAACGGATCCATTTTGCTTCGGCCGCTTTACCAAATAACACGAATGGACGTTTACCATGTGATGCGACTAGACCGCGGTCGGCCGCGCTCTAACCAGGCTGACGCTACCAGAACAACCGCCGAACGGCCCTCTTTGACAAGCCAAGTGCGAACACTTAGGCACTGGAGGGCGAACCTACCACCCCACATTTGCCACACCACCAATGCCATCAGCATAACTATAGCGCTCTTCCACAGTTGGGTCCCGCTACGACGATTAGTGCGTCTACGTGGCAAGATGCTCTTTGTTGTGAGCATTTTACACATTGCAGTCAATGGGTTTGGTGAAAGGTGATGTCTGTCAACTGTCCCTTTACTAACTGTTGTATCACCTGTACCTACGATATCACCTGTCACATTGAAAATGGTCATACATAGTTAAAATGGGATAAATGCATGACACCATTAGTTAGAACAGTGGCATTGCGTTTACCATTCTTTATGCTTTTTGGGAGCAATTTTAGGGGAATGTTGTTTATTACAATTGTTGATGTCATGACATAGCTGAAATGTAAAATGTTGTAACATACCCAACTCAGACCCAGCTGCTTGCTTGTCATGCAAAAACTGTGACATAAATCCAGCATTGGTGTTTTACATGGGGATGCTGTGCCCTACATTCAAACCAGAAAAATAAATTAGAGTAGACCATCAGATTTGAATAAATGGTTTATCCCAAAACCCCATAACTGGTTATATTAATGTGGACAGATATTTGCTGCCCCATGACACAATATACATATATATATGTATACATGTCTGTTGCATGGAGAGTGCTCCCACCATCACTAGAACTCCATCTCCTAACAAACAGTTGTGTTAACTTTCACTGCCAAATAAAAATTGAAACCTGTGAGCAGATAAGCAATGCAATAAACTTTACACACCTAGGGCCATGAAATAAACAACAGTTTGAGTAGCTAAAACTGAAAAGCTCTGGAGCATGGTAATGATCAATCTAACTGTTCTACTCTAATGATCTGAGTGAGAGATTATCATAATCCTAATGTTTGTAACCATTAATGCATCACAATGTCATTAATATTTAATTAGGAAGTAATACACAATGCCATCACTGAAATTACTTTATTCTAAACATCCATCAGCTGACAAATCAAACAACAGTTCAAAATATCTGAGGCATCCAGGGAAGCAGCAACAATAGAACCAAACTTTTGGTGCATGTGTGCCATTAATCTGAGGCTCAGAGCTTGGCAGTCACCACTCAATTCATTGTATGGAACTGGAATCTAGGAATACTGATGCTGCAACTTGCAAATCAACATCTGGTCAACTTAGTTACAAATCAATTTTTCACACATAAATAATATCAAAACTCACTGCAACTTGGCCTGGACTAGTTTTAGCACACAAGTGTGAGGTTTATGGCACCAAAGTATGGTAGGTGTCCAGTGCAATCCATATCTTTTCCAGACAGACCATGATATGCTTAATACAATGTAAGGTGTTCAAAAGTGACAAGTAGCCTACTGTCAGTCATCAGTCTGAAAACCATGTTTCACTTCAGCAATAATCTGCAGGCCTTGCAATTTTGCTTACTATGCAGTATCAGCATCCATCAGCCATATCATGCATTTCATCAGTTTTAACACTTCTTCCTTTGGTCCCATTGGGTAAAAAACCCTATTCCCCTGGATACACTATGTTGAGTAGAATGCTAAAAAATGTAATCTCCATTAGGCATCTAATTGGGATGAGATGTTAAAAAACAGGAAATTTTGCTTGCCAAAGGAAGATGTCAATTGCTAGTCACATGACTTTGAGACTTCTATTTTCTAAGAGCTTAGGATGATTTGCAGCCACACCTGAGCATGCAAGTATGCAGTCTAAAATCACCTCCCACCTGCCATGCGCATTATATTCCAAAACCTTTCCTCTCGCAGCTCTTGCAATCATCATTATGTTGTGGTCCTCGAGTCTTACAATCTGATGGTAGAGGTCAGACCTCATACAATAGGTCTTGCTTAACCTGAGCTCTGATCCCAGAAACTTATCCCAACCGGTTCTCATCGTGCTGAGGCCGGTCAACAATTACCTGCAACCTTTCGCACGACACAGCTCTTTTCTCAATTGTTTGACAACACTGCTCGAGCACTTCAATAACACTGCGCCCGGCTCCAACTACTATTGTCCGAAAAGTATAAGATGTCACACTACCCCGCACAGCAGCAATAATGCGTTGTTTATGCAACTAATGCGCAGCAATAGCTCATGATATGGAGTCTCACAAACAAGGCATGTCAAGAACTTAGACGTAAACCTGTTGAACAATAACTTACATGCCAAATTATGAAGCTTCTTCTATTTCTTGCTTGTGAATAACAGTACAGTTCAAACCAGCTTTTGCTGGAATTTTTTAACTTCGAGGAATGTTGGAAACGACAATTTCTTGTTCCACTTCTATTTTTCAAGAACACAACTTTTTCTAAGTGCCTACCGCATGCTAGTATACCGCCAAAATACGGCGGCGCAGCTGTCCGTGGACCCATAACCCTTCAAAGTTGGTCAGCCGATGGGGGCGATGCGTTCGGAAATCTATGCTCCCAAGACCTAGGGATAGGGGGCCTACTTTCACATAAGTCTCCTGGACGTGGGTCTTCTGGGTTTTCCCCTGTATGTCGGGCTGAGCCTCGCTCACCCCTCGAGTGCATGCGTGCTGGCCCACGGTAGATGTTTGGAAACAGGCCCGATTTTGGCGCGGAATGAGCCGCGGGAGGCCCTGGCCGCGCTACGACAGCCGAAGACAGGAGCTAGCGAGGTATTGGGGCCGTGGCATTCGATCAGAATTGCGGTGAACGGAATTGGGATGACTGACGGCCTATGCGGGTCAAACGAAGGTTGATGGTGAGCCGATGCCATTTATAATGTTCATCTCCGTGGTCCAATACGGCGTCATTTCTAATATCGTTCAGGATATTTGGGATGGGTAGTGTTATGATGGAATTTGAAACATCGCTATGTTCAAACGGGCACAGAAGTGTCAGGAGGTAGAGTGTCAGTGACAACATTGATATGAAATCTCTCTATGCATTTCTTTAGGGTTGATGTTAATGAATTATGAAAAAATTGGGAGCCAATGTCCCCCCCTCACCCCCAATCCTGTTCCCATGCCTATGGTCACCAGGGCTGTATAACACACTCAGCTGCTGAAGCTATATATTGTTGCCTGCCTTTCATGTTCCCATGCTCAGTGATACTGAAGGGTGTGAGCACTTCAGTGGTATGGAGATGCTAGTTGCTTTGTTGGTTGTTTTGTGCCTGCCAGATGAGTTTTGGGCAGTATGTTAATAGCTGGGCTCAACAGGTTACTGACTTAACATGCATAGTGGAGTTTATATTAGCAGGGGGTGTTTTCTTAACAACAGAATAAAAATTGAGTATTTTGTGGGTGCAAATGGAGCCCTGTTTGAGTACCACATCTGCTCCTAAGCTGTGATGGGAGCTTTTCACTTTTTCACTTCATGTGACCAAGGATTTGTGGTGTTCACTGTAAATGGATTCTCCATGTTAAGTTCAACTAGAAAATAGTCATGTTTGCATATACAGTGTTGCCTGTTGTGTTTTTGACAAGATGTGGCTAACCTACCTGCCTTGTGAGTGCCCAACATCCATACTACACAAATTTGTTGTCAGGAAAGAAAATAGCTCTGTATGCATTGCTTGTTCATGCTGGCCTGACACATACAGCATCTAGTTAGCAAAGATGGAGTGTGCCTTGACATTGGGAGAGTGGTTTTGTGCTCTGGATTTGTGTTTGGAAAACTGGATATTTTTTGTGATTTGTGGTGCTGTGGCCTGGGCCTGCTTAATAGAATGCTGAATATCAGGCCATGCATTAAGGTTAAGCTGCCACAAAAATTTGAAATAGCAGTACTTATGTAACTGGCCTTTCCATATAGTTAGCATATAGTGGCTTAATCTGGTTGTTCAGCATGAAGGTGTTACAAACTAGCATTGCCAACTACCTGCTCACCAATTATGTATTTACAGTGAAGACTGATATTCATGTCTGGCCAGAAAACAAGGGCTTATTACCATACCACTCTGAGAGGCCTAGGTAGGTTTGCTTCATATTTTGTTACATAATATCCATGTTGGGTCAGTTACTTTGGTTTGAAACATGATTTGACGTGCTGAATATGCTAGATATGATACATTCAAATGGCTTAAAATGTTTATAGGATGGAGCATGTACAGGGCACTTCCAGAAAATACTCATCAGTGATTTAGCATTGAAAGACATCACACCCTATGCTGAAATGTTTTCAGTAGATGAGGTATTAGAACTTCATAGGGCATTCCAACAGCCTGCTGTTGCATTTAAAATAGGTACAACCCAGATGCGCTCATAGTTGTTCTTGTTCAACATAAGTGGCCATGGCCATTTTATTTGAAAGCCTGATTTTTATTTATTCAGTGCCAGTTCACCTGTGTGACTTGCTTTAGTCCCTGTGAGTGTCCATGAGCAGGGGAAGGACCTCTTGTGTTCATACAGTAGAAAAATACATACTACTTGTCACTGCCAAACCACCTTGCATTGGTCTTTGGAACTTTGCTCTATCTGCCTACCTGAGCAATATGAAGTTATTGTTTGCAGTTACCCACTACAGTGGATAGTGAAAACTCCTAAGAAACATATTCTATATCTGCAAATGAAAGACTGGGGTTACTGCAGCCCCTCACATAATGTATGAGCACTGTCATAAGATTGTTTGAATTGAACTGTATGTTGAACCCAACCAGTTAGCTGAATAAGTGTAAATTCTTTTTGCAGGGAGGATTGTTGATAAGAAGTATCAACACTCAAGTCTGAGGTGGACCTAGAGGATTTGCTTAGTCATTCCCACCCACTAGTGAAGCACTGTTCAGGGCCACTCATTTATCAGTCATGACTATGGATTCCCTAGACATTGCTGGATCAGCTCAACAAGAGTTTGTCACAGACAGCAATGAAGCTCTCGAATTCAAGCTGGTGAGGTGCAAGGAAGATCTTGAACGAGACGAGACGACTTTTAAACCGGAGATGTCACATCAAATATTTGGAGAGACTGAAACCATCTTCGGATACAAGGAACTCAGTGTGAAATTGTACTACTCGGCCGCCCGTCTCTCCCCATACCTGGGCATGTCCTACACATCCAAGGTGGACCCCAAGAAGGCCGAGGGCGTCCAACCAGACGAAGTCCTGAAGCCGGTGGCCGAGAAGCTTCCACAGGCGTTCTTCACCAACCTGGACGACTTTGTGAAGGCGCTGGACAAGGACGCGTCGTTTCGTCCATACGGCGAGCTCCTGCACACCTTCGGTCCCAGCCTGTCGTCGGACGGGGATGGGGCGAGCCCGCGCACCTTCGAGGTGTACCTAGCCACGGCTGAGACGCCCGGTCTGCGGGAGCATCACGAGGCACTGCAGACTTTCCTCCTCTGGTACATCGACGCCGCCAGCTTCATCGACATCGACGACGACCGCTGGCGCTTCTTCGTCTGCTTTGAGCGGTACAAGACGGCGGAGGGCGAAACGCGATACGCAGTGGCCGGCTACACCACCGTGTATGAGTACTACGCCTATCCTTGCCACGTGCGGCCACGCATCAGCCAGATGCTCGTGCTGCCGCCCTTCCAGAAGCTGGGCATCGGTGCGGAGATGCTGGACATCGTCTACAGACACTACAAGAACAACGAGAAGGTCGTAGACATCACGGTCGAGGACCCCTCGGAGAACTTCACGCGACTGCGGGACTTTGTCGACTGCAGAAACTGCGCCAAGCTCTCATGCTTCCAGCCGCTCAAGCTGGCACAAGGGTTTTCACCCACGATGGCAGACGACGCAAAGAAAGAGCTGAAGATGAGCAGCAAACAGGTCCGCAGGGTGTACGAAATCCTACGCCTCCGTGCCACCAACCTCTCCGACAAGGAGGAGTACAGGAACTTCCGTCTAGACGTCAAGAAACGGCTGAACATGCCCTATCAGAAGGAGGACTCGGACATGAAAAAGCTGCTGAAGGTCCTGCGGCCGGAGGAGTTGGCCGTCTCGGTCACGGGGCGAGAGCAGAGGATCGAAACCCTGGACCGGATGTATAACCAGCTGGAGGAGGAATACAAACACGTCCTGGAAAGATTGGCTGTTCTTTAATCTTGCCTGTGCGTTTGGTGGTAATGTCCGGCGTATTTTGTCGCTGAATGCTGGTTCCGTTTGTTAATAAAACGTGCATCTGATCGGCGCGGTGCTGTCCTGGTCGTCTGCGGTCCGGCTCCCCAGTGGTCGCGGCGGTACGGAGGCGTCCGTATCCGGCTGGGGCGCCGCGTCAGGGAGGTGCCATTCCGAACCGTGGTGGTCTATTTGCCTATCTGTAACGCTCCCTTGTTGGCCATGGTCACCCTTTTACGACTTGTATGCCGTGTACCTGCTATCAACTCAGCAGCTCAAAAGCCTCGTGAACATCGTGGAGCCACCTTGAGCACAGCGCCGTCCCCATCGGCTCGTTATTGAGGGCCACGCCGGCGGCCGGCGCCGCAGAGCACGTCCCAGTCAGGCGGGCTCTGAACTGAGGCGATCTATAAACATTGGATGTGGAGGTAGCTGGGCGCCGCTGGTTGCCCGCAATTGTGTTAACCATGGCGGAGAACTGATCATGCTTGCGGTGATCGGTATTTGAGTGATAGCAATGGCACAAGATGAAATGAGTGGGGTAAACGAGAAGTTCTCGTTACAAAAGATGGTTTTGCCGTGTGCGAATAACTCACCAGGAGCACCTGACATTGCAGCTGCACCTGTGCCGCTTTCCACACCGGGTTATGCCTTCACTAGGTGCGGTAGAAATGACCTCGCGGCTGGGAAGGAGGAGGAGTTCACTTAGAAGAGATGTTTCCAGTCTTCCAAACACGACATAGAAAGCAGCTAACTATGAATTATGCCGGGGCTGGCGGCGGCACAACGAACTTTTGTCCGTGTCAAGTGGCACTAATTTGTGTGCCCCCGCCCCCCGCAGGAAAACCTATGACGGCATCGTACAGAAGGCGTCATGCCAATTGAAGTATGGCGCCGCACCTAGTGTGCCCTTTTATTTAGTATATGAACAGAACAGCATTCAAGACGGGGGCTAAAACGTGAACGGCGCCCGCAGGATAGAGAGGCCCCGGTGTGTTCGAGTCCAGTATGCCCGCGGCTGGTTTTGATGGCAATACTTGATTACGCAGAGATCAATGTTCTTTCAACGGCAAAGATGGTGACCCAAGTCGTGTTCTCTTACGAGGTCATCAAAGTCATCATAGACTCATTTAATTTTCTCATCATTTATCTGTAGCACTGATGAACCTTCCACCACACAAAATCCTCTTGTTATCGGGGCCTCTTCTCGGTCATTACGGGCCTCCCTCCGTAAATCAGTGATACTTATTCGTAGTCGGAAGAGGTGTTTTACATCGGTGTTGAGCTATCCAACTGATCTATGGGGCCAGACCGTGTACTGTGTTGGGTCAGCAGTCTCTTCTTGGTCATGATCCGGGCTACGTGACGCATAACTGGCCTTCAACCACCTAAGATCGTTACATTATTAAAGACTTCTTCTATCGCAAGGTCATCCGCAGCACGACTTCTCTCTGTCATACCCGATCACTTCATAGACAAATGGAAACAAATCCCACTATGGCGCCTTCTCTCGACCGTGACGTCACGTTGTCGACAGGACCGGACCCGCCGTTGGTGGTTTGCAACGCACTCGGCTGCAGAGGCCATGGCCGCTCCATTGCAGCCGACTGCGTACATAACACCTATCACGGCTCTCGGGCGGCCACAGTTTTGGCGCGGGCACAGATGCATGTTCGTCCGCCCTGTCTGAGCCACTGGGCGTCCGCTGAGTCCAGTGGCGCCATCCCTGCCCCGATGAAGTATATGAATCCTTCATGTGCTGCGGCCTGGCGGCGAATGGCCACTGCCCCCTGGCGTTGTAATTTTCAACTATTCAGCGAGCGACCGAGGCGCCGTCTGCGGGTGAGCCGTCGTCTGCGAGTGAGGTGCCGTCGCCAGCAAACCGTTCAAAACGAGGGTGAATCATTTAAATAAGCATTATGACATCAGCTGGTGGCTGCTTTGTTCGATACGCTATCAACCCAAATTGCTTAGTTCAGCGGCGTGGGAGTAGGAGCCACGATGGGATAAGCTCCCCAAGTTTCTGAGAATGAAGTATTGGCCCTCCGATGATGGCCTATATGTAGGTGGACTGGACAGATAGAAAAATATCGCACTTCCACATTGAGAGGGCTTCCATTGACCGTGACCTGGTTTAAATAAGCGTCTCATCAGCATCAAACTAGCCAATGATCACAGAGGTTCCCGGATGGCGCCCTAAACAATCCGAGCAACCAGACGCTACCGAAGAAGACAATGTATATCTTTGGAATAACTGGGCGCCCCAGGTAATTATAGCATGGTGGTTGTAGACACTGCAAGACAGTAAGGAGCCTCGGGCTGGTCAGCACATTGAAACATTATCGAGTCACCTGAAATCTCGATATCCCTTGAAAAGTAACTTAGTTTTTATGTAAAAATTGCCCAGAATGGCCAGAGAATCCGAACAGCTATCAAAGAAAGACCTGCTTTGATGGTCGTTAGTCTGGAGCGATCAAAGGACATCCACCAGGCGGTACTTGAGTGATAAGAGGGGGATATCAAACACTGGAACAGGCAAAGAGACTCGAAGACGTACGGTGAAGTGCCGCTGCCTATTTCGAGGATTAGCTTATTTGATGACGTTGGCGCACGCAGGACGGCTCCATACGTTTTCATAGCTCCCTGTTGTGCGGTCTGTAATGCCACCTTTCTCTTTGTCTGCCCTGCCCATCACTCATAAACACTAGGTGAGTAGGACAAAAGTGTCCACATCATTTTACCGCGGCGCATAGAAACGTACTGGAACAACCAAACTGGGAAGTCAATGTTGCGAAATCGCAGCACTCCCACCTGAGAAATATGACAGACACGAAACAAACAAGGCATGACAGCAGAGTTACTATTTTCCAGGTAAGTCGGGACGATTAGTAATGCATAACTAAAAGCGTAAATTGAAAGATAAATGGGAGTAGTCGGTGCCAAATATGGCGACTGACAAGCGGCTAACACCAATGCCTGTTTCAATGTGATGATCCAAACAAACTTTTAGTTGCTATACCGCAGAGCCAAAGGGCCGCGTAAGCGACTACCCTTGTCAGCAGAAGACGACATCACCTTGGGGCTTCTACGTCATGGATGCTGCATGAGAACTTTGGCTAATGAAAATCAGATAGCCTCGTTTACATTTGAAGTGCATACATATCAAACAACTCTGAAGAGGGCCTGAGGAACTGAAGGAGTCTCATCAGGGAGCTCAAGGAAGTCTCCTTAGGAAGCTTAAGAAGGTCTTATAAGAGATAACTCATCAGAAAGCCTTTTACACCGTCAAGGAGGAGTACAAGTGTCGACAAAATCCGTCTTTGGTTGCCCCCACAAGAACTGGGGCCCCCGTGACGGTTACAATGCCCTGAGCGGGCCGAGAGATCACCAAAACGATGGTCACCATCGATAGTCCGTGGGGTCCGATCAGACAAGAGACGTAACGAACATCCCTCGAATGTGCTTTACGGCCACCGGATCTGTCGGACAGATTTCCCAGATGGTTGGCGGACTGCCAAGATGGCCTGGGACCCTGAGCTGGTGCAGAGAGCCAAATAGAATTGAAGGCCCACACACACACACACACACACACACGGATCGTGTGTTTAAGTGTCCCCCAATCTTCTGAAGAACAGTGCATTTTTATAGAATCGTAGATGATGCGTACACTATAAAAAGTGGGTTTACCGAACACTTTTCTGAAGCTGCCCACTCTTAGGCCAACTCCAGGCCGGAGAGCATGTGCGTCATGTTCGGCACAGCACCACACCAAAACCGACGCACCGCTGGACAGCCTACCAACTACAGCTGGCCCAGTTCGTCCCAGATAAATGGAGCGCACAAGACAAGTGGTCTGAAGCCTGACGGGCATCATTTGTTGTTATTTATTCCTTGGTGAGGCGGTTGCTAGCCTGGTGGTCAAAGGAAGTCCAGAAGATTTATGTTCAGTTGAAAAGAAGCTGTATTGTGGACTCAATAACTTAACATTTGCTGGCAGGATGCGATGCCGGTATTCACTGCACCGGGTCACGACTGGCCCGGTATTCAGTGCACTGGTTCACTGCGCACGACTGTGTCACATCTTGCTATGTTATGCGGTGGTATGCCACTACGGGAAACTACAAAGCAGTCATTTCCGCACTATAATGATATATTGGGTGAAAATGGCTATATATATATATATATATATATATATATATATATATATATATATATATAATCATTAGACAAAAACATTATTCGGTACCAAATCTGGAATGCACGAAAACTAGGACTAGCGGGAGCGAGACCCATCGTTGGATGAAAAAACCTTTAACTTTCACTCCGTAAACGACTTTGTTTCGTAATTCAGTATTTGTTTGTATTTTAACTGCACGCCGCTTTACGATTAGTCTAATTGGGTCAGATTCGCAACCCTTAAATATCGATGTTGTCGAATCCAACAAATAATGAACTAGCCAGTAACTTTTACTCCGTAGCCGTTTTTGTTTGGTCATGGCGTGCTGATTTACCATTTAACGTTTGCGGCCCTTTGCTTTAAGTTTTCGTGCGTTTCAGATTTGGTGAAAATTAGGCTCCTATCTGATGATGCCACTGTGAAAACTAACAACAGCTAATGCGTGGTCTGCCCTGTTCCTTAGATAATGAGGACTTGGGCGCAAGCTATTCTTTGGTAGCTGTAATCACATCCGAAGCAAGTTCGGTATCTCCGGATGGCAAGTGTCTCTTAAGGTACTGCATCATACGCATCAGCGCGCAGGCGTCCTGCTCCGTGGACAGAGTCGGGGTCGAGACTGGCGCCGGTCGGGAGGGCGCCGGGTGACGCCGATATCATCAAATAAGATTGCAAAGTTGGTTGGTGCATATGGATCGCAACGAATTGCAGGACCAAATGCCCATTGAAGACACTGTAGATTTGCCCACTTTTAATGAATTTGACAAGCTTTGCCAAATTGGGCTGAAAGATAATGTTTTGATACGGGTGTCATACGTGCCACAAAATATTTTTGCCGCTATGAACTGGGCCGGATCACATGTAGGGATTGTCAAAGATCTCGGTTTGTGGTAGATC